TGTGGTTCCCAAGAGGTAGCTTTTATGCTATCTGTTGCATGCATTTTCTAAACATGCATCTTCTTTTGAATTGTGGTTTAAGCTTTGTAAAATAATTATTTTTAGCTTGAAATCTACCTCGTCTTATATTTGGGTCACAAAGTGCTACTTTATGATCGTATTTATTTGTTTGCTATATGCCTGCCCATCTGTCTGCTGTTCAGCTTTAGTTTTTTATATCATTTTTAGTATTTTCCCTATCTCAAACATAAGCTTGGCTTTTGCTTTTAAGTAATCTGAGACTTTTTTTTTTTAATTTTTATTAGTGAGACATCATGAGGTACAGTTGCAGACTTACAAATTTTTGTGCTTGGGTTTCAATTATACAATGATCAAATACCCATCCCTCCACCAGTGCCCATTTCCCACCACCACGGATCCCAGTATCCCTCCCATCCCCCCATCCCCCCACCCCACCCTGCCTCTGTGGCAGGGCTGTAATCTGAGATTTTTAAGTTATTATCTATTTTCACTGACTGTTCTTACAATACTTTCCATCCTGTGACACTTTACTAAATTCATTATGCTATATTTACTCTGCTTATTTTTCATGGCAGTATGCTGCTTTTTCTCTATTTTCTTTTTTGATTTTAGAATATGTATGTTTTTCTTCTAGTGCATTTATACAAATAACTTCAGTAGACTGCAAAATAGTCAATTCTTTTAGTCCACCATTTACTAATTAGTATTCTACTCTTTATTTTGTTACCCTATCATTTATGTTAAAATTTATTTTATTCTATTTTACATTTTCTATTATGCCTTCATCATATTTGTTTAGACATATTACTTTTTCCTTGTCTGATGTGATGTAAAGTCTATTTTTCCCCTGGATAAAACCTGGGGACATTGGTGGTGGGAAATATACACTGTTGAAGGGAAAGTGTTAAAACAAATGATTGAAACAGAATCATGAGCAACTTTATAATTGCATTTCACACAGTAATTCAGTTTTTAAAAATCCTTAATTTCGGGGCTGGAGTAATAGCACAGCAGGTAGGGCATTTGCCTTGCACGCGGCCGACCTGGGTTCAATTCCCAGCATCCCATATGGTCCCCTGATCACCGCCAGGGGTAATTCCTGAGTGCATGAACCAGGAGTAACCCCTGTGCATCGCCAGGTGTGACCCAAAAAGAAAAATAAATAAATAAATAAAAATCCTTAATTTCAAGTTTGGGAATATTTGCATGCAGAAGGTCTGGTCTTTTGAGCATTGAGTTGGGAGTATCCCAAGAGCACCAGTGAGCGTGACCTAAAAATCAAAATTAATAAAACAAAATATCTTTAATTTTCTTTTAATAATAATTATTTTTCTACTCTTCCCTTCATCTGTTTCTGATCTGCAGTGGAATATACTCTATTTATCATCTGTCCTTTTACAAATATTCCACAGTCATCCTTTGCATTTGATAAAGCTTTCCCTCAAGTATGTTCCTTAGAAAGAACTTATGAATGATTGTTTTCTAAATTCTTATAATTTAGTTGTTTTTTTGTCTGTATTCATGTTCGATATGCCAGACACAGTAACAACAAAGTCTCCAATGGAGACGTTACTGGGCCCGCTCGAGCAAATCGACGATCAACGGGAGGGCCTTTACCTTTTACCATGTTACAAGCATGTCAGCTTAGCAGACTATAAAACCCAGACCACAGGCTTTCACTGCCATTGTTTCTTGTGTTTCTTAGAAATGTTGGTCAACTGATGTGGAGTGCTGCTGATCCCATCCTAATTGTCTCTCCTGTGTCAGTGGCTATGTCTCTCTATAAATCCAGTTTGAAAAATAGCTGCGGTAAATTATAATGGCGGAAATTTATTTTGAGAATTAAGAATTCTGACTACATCAAACCTTCCCAAGGAGATTTTTTTAGGACTACTTTTAACTCTGGATTCTTTGGTTGAATTTTGGTTTTAGAAATAATTCTGTTTTACTGTTTTGTTGCAGATCAAATAAGTCCTTCATTAGACACATTAATAAAGATTTTTGCTTTCTCTATAATTTACTGGTCATTTTGATGTTTTAAAAAACTATATTTTTATTGTCTGTTTTGTTTTTTTTTCTTATTTTTTTATGTAGGAGTACTGCTATTTATTCAGCCACTGATTAGCTGATTGAATTGTGCATGAACTCCACCTTACTTGTTTTTCATTTTTTTATAATTTTATTTATTGCATCACCGTGAGAGCAGTTACAAAGCTTTCGGGTCTAAGCCTCGGTCATACAGTGAAACACCCATCCCTTCACCAGTGCCCATTCTCCACCACCAAAAACCCCAGTATACCCCCATCCTACACCCTCCCCCTACCCATGGGGCAGATGATTTCCACATTACTCTCTCTCTACTTTGATCACATTCAACATTTCGACACCAGATCCACCATTATTATTTGAGATTTTACCCCAACACTCAGATCTGCTGAAAAGATAACAGTAGACAATTTGTGTTCTATTGCTGGTTATGAATAACATACGATGTTGTGTGGCTGCAGTAGGGCCATGTTATTTTGAAATTTCGAAATTTTAACACTTTAATCTGGAGGGATTTCTGCCAAAAGCCACTGGGTTTTGAGATTTGCTCCTGAGTCTCTGGGCCGTTGAGCAGCTTGATCAGGAGCCAGAGAGGCCTTTCGTGGGTGATGACTTGGGGTCTCATTGGGATGGGGAGACCAGGACCGGCTCCACCCCCATCCTGTGAGGCCCAACAAGTTTCGTCACTGTGGGCCCAGACCTGACTGTCCAATGGCCTCTAGAGGATGATGGCCATCGAGTCGCCAGAGGGGAGCAGGCAGAGGGACAACTCTTTCCCCCCTGGGGTGGCCCTGCGACAGTAACCTACTGCGAGGTCCGGATGCCTTTCTGCCAAAAGCCGCTGGGTTTCGAGATTTGTTTCTGAGTCTCTGGGATCAAGGCCATTAAGCAGCTTGATCAGGAGCCAGAGAGGTCATTTGTGGGTGATGACCTGGGGTCTCGTTGGGATGGGGAGGACATATTTTGTTTTCTTTTGTCTTTAAAATTTTAACTCAAATGTATTCTATCTTGATTCTAGAAACTTGCTTCTAATATTTTAATCTTAATCTGAGGTTATTTTGTCTTTCGTTTTCTTTCTTTAGTTAATTTGCTTTCTACTTCATATCAGAAATTGCTTGTGCCATTAATCCAGGTTACAGTATTCTGTGACAGGTTTTTACCTTATGTTTATTTATTTTTGTGTAAGGAAAATGCTGAAAAGTTTTGTCTCTAATTTTCTGTTTTCAGTTTTGTTTAATGTTGTCTGCTCATTCTTTTTCAAATATCATATTTATTTAGACCTGAAATAAAGGCAGGGTGCAAATGTTTGGGTAGCCTAGTAGACTTCTTATTTCTAGATTCTACTTCTTTTTTTTTTTTTTTTTTTTTTTTTTTTTCTTTTTGGGTCACACCCGGTGATGCACAGGAGTTACTCCAGGTTCATGCACTCAAGAATTGCTCCTGGAGGTGCTTGGGGGACCAGATGAGATGCTGGGAATCGAACCCCAGTCAGCTATGTGCAAGACAAATGCCCTACCCCCTCCAGCCCCCTAGATTCTACTTCTTAATTCTACTTCTTTCTTATGTCATGACATTGAACTTTTATTCATCAGGGGATTTATTTACTGGGAATAATAAGTATAGTGTCATGCTTTAGTGTAAACTATTTATTCATTTAAAAAATTTTATTCATGTCTGGCGGGTAAGGCGTTTGCCTTGCAAGTGGCTGACATGGCCGAGCCAGGTTCAATTCCTCTGCCTTTCTCAGAGAGCCCAGCAAGCTACCAAGAGTATCACACCCGCACAGCAAAGCCTGGCAAGCTCCCCATGATGTGTTCAATATGCTAAACACAGTGAAAAAAGTCTCACAATTTGTTGTGATACGTTACTGATGCCTGCTCGAGCAAATCGACAAACAACGGTAGGACAGTGCCACAGTGCTACAGTGCCAAAAGATAAAAATTCAATAAAATGCTAAATTATTTGAGCAGTTATTTAAAGATATATAATGGAAAGTTATAGTTTTTGGCAGCCATTTAAAATTTTGTGTTTTAGATGTTTAAATACATGAGTTTCAAATGTCAAGTACTTTCAGCTAAGAACCTATTAAAATGGAATCCTTCATGAAAGTTTTATTTTTACTTAAAATAATTCTTTGGAAGTTTGTAAGCCTACAACTGTGTTGGTGTTTCACTAATAAAAAAAAATAAATAAATAAAATAACTCTTTGGAAGTTTGTAAGCCTACAACTGTATTGGTGTTTCACTAATAAGAAAAATAAATAAAATAAAATAACTCTTTGGATGTAAAGGTCAATATGATTCAGAAGGAAAATCTATATTAAGTAAAAATAATGAGCAGAGCTGGAGAGGGGGTAGGTACTCACCTTGCACATGTCAAAGCCTGGGTCCATCCCCAGCAACCCATATGGTCCCCTGAGCCAGGAGTTATCCCTGAGTGATTCCTGAGAATAGAGTCAGGAGTAAGTCCTGACCATAACTGGGTGTAGCTCCCTTCCCAAAAAAAGTAGCGCTGTCCTCCCGTTGTTTGTGTTCATCAATTTGCTCGAGTGGCCCCAGTAATGTCTCCATTGTGAGACATGTTGTTAAAAAAAAAAAAGTAGAAATAAAGATTAAAAAAAGTTTTGGTCATTGTTACTTTGAAGAAACCAACATCAGTGTCCTAATCTTAAGAGAATGGCCATTACTACCAAAGTCATTTTTATCTTTTTTATTTATTATTTTTAATTGCCGGTAATCTATAAATTTGATACTTATATGATTATTTACGAATTACATAAAATTTGATGTCAGGATAAGTTAATGTCAGTTTTCCTCTATGTAATTTTAATTTTTAATCTTTGTATTAAATGTGTTTTAATGTGTAATATCATGTACATTTATTTTGCTAAGAATATCTGAAAAGGGAATTCCTATTTTTGTCACTATTAAAAGGGAGAAGCAGGACCAGCAGGGGCTCCAGGACAGGATGGACCTCGGGGAGAGCCTGTGAGTACCTCTCGAGTCCTTTCTGCAGGATGTAACCACTTTCCTGTCTGTTGACTATTTAACCCTCTTTCAATGTGCTCTGCTCTTGTTCATCGTGTCCATACTTGGAAGTTGTAGAATCTCTTTGTGGAATGCTTAAAGTATCAAAATATTTCAAATATTTTCTCACTTTTACAAATCAGGAAGAATTTTAGGCAGCAAGAAAATTTAAGTATGAACAGCCAAGCGCTCATGCCTACAAAAATGTGTCCTGAATATAAAAAAAACCTAAACTGTTGCTGAGCTTGAGTCAATGGTACTTGCTATTCTATTTGATCATTGTATTATTATATTCTCTCTGGGAGAACTAACTGATTGAGAGAAAGAAATATATATGTATGTATGTATGTATATAAATTCTAGGCATATCTGCTTTTTTTTTCTTCTTGGCTCATACCCGGCGATGCACAGGGCTTACTCCTGGCTCTGCACTCAGGAATTACCCCTGGCAGTGCTTGGGGGAACATATGGGATGATGGGAATTGAACCCGGGTTGGCGTAGGCATATCTGTTTTTAACAAGTGTGCCAGATGATTCTTCAACTGAGTTTTGGGAATGTAATCTGTTTATTCAACTTTTATTCCTACTACTCATGGCCCTCAGTGACCAACATTTAAGACCAGCAGATCACATATATTGATTTAAGAAGCCTCTCTTCAGGTAATCTACAATTTTCTTTAGGGAAGTTAGGTCAAGAAACAAAATCCTGACTAAGTTATACTGCAGTTTATCTTAAAATGTTCATTTGAGTGCTTAATCCAAATATGGCACATAAAAGTAAGAGAGTTCTTAAAGCAGAGAGAGATAAATACTCTTAGAATCAAACACAATTTTATTCCATTTTCATCTTATGTATTATTTTGCACTGGCAAAGTTCTTTATAAAGTGAGTGTTTTCAAGAAGCTTATATTCTCATTTGGAGGGCATACAAATGAGACAGATCATTGTTAATTCTAGTCAGTTTATATTTAGTGCCAAACATGGGTTTGATATGGAATTGGAAGCATTTGAAGAGTTTCTGCTATGTAGCAGTTATCTGAGCTTAAGTAAATCATTCTACATCTCTTCCTTCCACAGCCTTGTTCTGGCAACACTTGGCAATGTTCAGGTGTTACTCCTGGCTCTGCTGTCAGGGAACACTTCTTGTACGGGAGAACCACATATGGGGCCAGTGATTGAACCCAGGTCCACGGCTTCAAGGGAAACACCCTACCCACTGTACTATCTCTCTGAACCCCCCCAAAATAACCTTACATTTCTAAATATCTTTTATCTCATGTGAAAAATACACATACTTAAAAAGCCTACTTTATAAGGTTATTGTTAGACTTACATAAGAAAACATAATTTTAAAATTGTGAAAACATTATCAAATGCATGGAATCATCCCAAGTTTAAACACTGGAATATTTTACCAGTGATCATTTTAATTCTCCCCTTATTGTCTTTTCCTTTCATTTATTGTTATCCTTTCATGACAAAATTTAGTCTCAATCCCTTAGTAAGAGTTTTCCGACCACCCCAAGTGTATTATTCACTCCTTTGTATTTCTAAAACACCTGGGAAAATCCCATGCCTGTGATAAAGAAACATGTTCACTATTTTGATCTATGATGTGGAAGCCAAGTAAAATAATGAGATCAAATTAGAAGAAAAGAAGCTCTTAGAAAAATGCTTTAAAGTTAAACACATAAGGTGGAATTCATGCCCAATTCAATCAGCTAATCAGCGGCTGAATAAATAGCAGTACTCCTACAAAAAAAAAAGTTAAGCACAATGTGTAGCTGTTAGATTTTGATGTATTTCTGTAAGAAAGTTATTAAATATGAACACTAATTTCTGGAACTCAAAGTGAGAACAAAAGATGTATTTTATAGAGAAATTATTTTATTACTTTAAAGTACACTGGCATGGCTTGGAAGCCAGCCTCACATGCTGGGGAAAAAGACAGCTCAGATAGAGAAGGGACCACCAAGTAAAAGGTGTTTAGCGGGCCCGCTTGGGATGGGAGCTGTGTACTGAGAGTAGACTACAGACCAAAAATGATGGCCATTCAATACTTACATTGCAGACCACAACACCCTAAATAGAGAGAGATTAAAAGGGAATGTGCCAGTCACAGAGAGAGAGGGGGGAAGGGCGGGGGGCTTAGGAGGAGGGATGGGAGGGCTACTGGAATCATTGGTGGTGGAGAACAGGCACGGATGGAGGGATGGGCTCTCAATCATTGTATGACTGAAACATAAGCACGAAAATTTGTAAGTCTGTAACTATTCCGCACGTTGACCCATTAAAAAAAATAAAATAACTAAAATAAATTTTAAAAAAAGAATGAAACTAAAAAAAAGAAAAGAAGTGATTTCTTGATAATCGGCAAGTGTTTATCAAAAGTTTAATTAGTGCAATCATGGATTTGATCTTGTGAAAAAATATAACAATTGCAGAATATAAGACTTGTATGCATATAATTGAGTAGAAAATAATTTTTACACTAAAAATAAATGAATAAAAATGTGATAACATGATTATTTGCTAAATAAATTATTACAATGTTATAGTAGGTTAATAAATGATATATTTTTTTACTAGAAATGATCTACAAAGTTTACCAAAAGCTCAACTTAATGATATTAATTTCTTTATTTCTATAGAAAATTTGAGATCCTTGTCTGAAAAACTCCATAAGATTTCATAATGCATAGTATGATCAGAAGTTTAACATTTCTATACATTTTAAAGTGTGAAATAATCACTGATTAGAAGGGATAAGGGAAAAAAAAGTACACTGGCATTGACTAAATTTGAATTTTAAAGGCTAATACTGGTTAATCCTAAGAGTAGTTCAGTTCTGAGGGCCATTTACTTTCTATGTGTCAGGTTGTACCCACTTCCTTGTGGGTGATTGAAAACTCAGTTTTCACTCTTGCTGAATTTACTATAATTGGTTTTAACCATGCCTCACAGTGCTTAAAATGATAATCTCTTAGTCACTTAGTCAATAAGCTTAACTGAGTGTCTGTCTTGCAGCAAACATTGTACAACCGAGAAGAATGCCAGGATTAATTGGTCAGGTCATGCCTTAAAGGAGTCAGAATAACACTATCATGACATAGTAAAAACGTTGTGGAGAAAGATTTTACAACCTTCCAAGCCCTGAAAAAAAATGGGCCAGAATGATAGTGGAAGGGTTAAGGTACTCACTTGCCTTGTACCTGACCTATTTGGTCCCTAGCAACACAAGTGGTCACCCAAGTACACCAGGAGTCATCCCTGAGCACGGAGCCTAGAGTGAGCCATGAGCATAGCCTCGTAAGGCCCAGTCGGTCCCCCAAGAAAAGGTGAAGGAAAAGTTGTGTACACAAAATGAGTTTAGAGTCAGCATTGAAAAGCATGTCTTCTTTTTATTTTAAATAAGAGTAATACTAATACAATTAGCATACTTAAAATGTTTAAGGATATAATTTTTAATAAGGTGCTTTTGTGATTTAAATCTGGAAGATAAACAGAAATCGGTGAGTTGCTTACCTGTCAAAACAGAATCACATATATCATGTTAAAAACACAAGTAAGGGGCTGGAGAAATAGCACAGCGGGTAGGGCGTTTGCTTTGCACACGGCCAACCCGGGTTCGATTCCCAGCATCCCATATGGTCCCTTGAGCACCGCCAGGAGTAACTCCTGAGTTCAGATCCAAGAGTAACCCCTGTGCACCGCCAGGCATGACCCAAAAAGCAAAAATAAAATAAAATAAAAATACAAGTACAAGGAACCCTAGTCTCAGGGAAAGGCTGAAACTAGTTCAGGCTACTTAGGGATATAGGGTAGAAATAAGATGAGATTGTGGGGGCAGAAAGGGGACAAATCTGGAAGGACTGGGTGAGGATGGATCATTGCTGTTTGGATTCAAATCTGAGAGTACGGTAAATTGTTCAGAGATTCAACTGGGCAAGTGAGTTCATCAGATTCAGGACATTTTAGAAAGATTAATAACAATAGAATAAGAAAATGAAGAAAAGGTGTGTCAAAGCATTGAGGTCTGAGCCAGACAAGTTGTAGCTGACCACTGTCACTCTCAGAGGTAAGGACATTCAGTGTCAGTGGGAGCGAGCATCATACCATAACAGGATCTGAACTAAGAAGTTACCAGCAGGGCTTGGAGATTGACTGGTTGTGTAGAGGGCTATCAAGATCTTGCTGTATTAATTTTACGTCCTGTGAAACTTGCATAAGAAAACGTTTTTATCTGAGCATCGCCAGAAGTTATCCTGAATGCAGAGCCAGTGGTAATCCCTGAGCACTGCTGGTGTGGCCCAAATATTAAATTAAAAAGGAGGAAAACACTTATACAAAAAGTATTGGATCTTGGTTATCTGGAAAATCTTTTACCTGTCAAGATTTTTAAAAAATTTTAATTTAAGATTTAATTAAAATTAAATTAAATTAAATCTCCTGCCCCCGCACCTGGCTGTCTTCACCAGGGCTCTTTGGAGGGGGGCAGGTTGAGTTTCCCTCCCCGCCCCAAGCAGAGCTTCCATAGCCAAAGACCTCCAGAACCAGCCACAACCATGCTGAGGCTTTTCACATGCATGAAGGTACTGGCAGAGGAACAAAGGCATGCGAGTCCCGGGGCTGAGATCTCCAAGTCTGCTCGGATCGGGCTGAGCATCCTCCACCCAGATCCTCCATCTTCCAGTAGGCAGGGGTCACACCCACCAACTGACCCCTGTGCCGTGTAATCCCATCAACAGCCAAGACCCAGAGACTAGAAAACCCAGCTCCCAGAAGGGCCATCTTATTATCTCATTCTTGCTTTGGACAACCTGGCAGGCTATCGAATGTAACCTGCCCACACGGCAGAGTCTGGCAAACTCCCCGTGGTGTACCCAATATGCCAAATACCAGTAACAATGATGGGTCTCATTCTCCTAACCCTGAAAGAGCCTTGAATCTGGCACTTTTTA